TCTCCGACACACAGACCCAGTGTGTGTCACGACCCATGAGAGGGGACACACGCAAAAGGCAGCCCCTTTGACAGACGCTCCTGGTTGGAATGGATTCCAGAATCCTTCAGCCTCCAGCCTCCGCCCCTAATCTTGGGGTGATGCCACCTCTCAGGTGCCAGGACGTGGGTAGGTCATACTGCTCTCAGCGGTCACACAGGGTTATTACTCAAGTCCAGCTCTGCTGGGAGCACTTTCCCAGGGCTCACCAGATCTCAGACTACAGCCACACCCCAAGACACACACAAGAGACGGTCTGACCGGAGTGGTTCCTCAGAAACATCAGCGCTTTCACAACCCAAGAGCAAGCACGGACAGATAGATCTTGGCAATCTGTCCACACACCTTTGATTCCCATTTGAGGACACAGAGAATGAGGTTGACCCCTCCAAGTCCTGACAATTGGTCTGCAGGAAAGATAGGTCCTCAGCTAACCAGGGCAGCGTACAACACCATCCCAGTCTTGGGGAAATTTCGGCTCTGTCTGGTGAGATATCAGTGTGTGAAGACTGGGTGAAAAAATAAGCTAGAAAGAAAGAAAAGAAGGAGTGTGGCCATGGTTGACCGGGTTGAAGGGTGTCCCTCCAAAGTGGTCCCCATAGAAATTCGGAATGTGATCTTATTTGGAATATAGGGTCTTGGGAGATAGAATTCCTTAAGAAGAGGTTAACTGGGGTAGGGTGGGCTCAGAGTCCATGGGTGTCCTCATAGGAAGAGGGCTGTGAGGAGCTACTCAGACACACAGAGAGGAAAGGAGGACTATGAAGACGGAGGGAGAAATGGGAGTGATGTGGCCACTAGCCAAGAGCACCAAGGATTTTTGGCAAAAACCAGAAGCCAGAAGAGGAGGTAGCATTAGGATTAGGATTAGGGTTAGGGTTTAGGGTTAGGGTTAGGGTTAGGTTTAGGGTTAGGGTTAGCATTAGGTTTAGGGTTCTGGTTAGGGTTAGGTTTAGGGTTAGGGTCAGGTTAGGGTTAGGGTTAGGGTTAGGTTCATGTTTGGGTTATGGTTAGGATTAAGGTTAGGTTTAGGGTAGTGTTAGGTTTAGGGTTAGGATTAATGTTAGGGTCGGTTAGTGTTAGGGTTGGGGTTAATTTAGAATTAGGGTTAGGGTTTGTGTTATGGTTAGGGTTGGTTTTAGGGTTCAGGTTGTGTTAAGGTTAGGATTAGGGTTAGAGTTAGGTTTAGTGCTAGGGTTAGAGTTAGGGTTAGGTTTAAGGTCGAGTTAAGGTTAGGGTTAGGGTTATTTTTATGGTTAGAGTGGGGTTAGGGTTAGAGTTTGCCCCTATGCACTCTAAAATCACCACAGAGCTAAATATAAATCCTGCTGTGCTCAGCACACATTGCCCTAACTCAGAAGTCTCAGCCTAGTACCCCGCCCACCCAGACAGTGTGACTGGGACCTCTGGGCCCCAGAACGAGAGTACATTTTATATCTGGTTTACGTCACTCTGTGCTGGGTGCATTTTTCTGGAATTCCTAGCAAAGGAATATACATGCCGAAGAGGAATGAGGTCACACCAGTTTCCATCTGATATATCTAAAGGGCCAGCTGAGGTGCTTTTGGCCAATCCTTCTAGAACTTGGCAAGGGCGCCAGGCAATGGAGGAGTTGGCCCAACACGAAACCAGCCATAGAGCTGCATATACAAGGCAAATAAGGTCCTCCTTCTCCCACACGCTCCCTGGGTGTCGTCTCCACCTGGGCTGTGGCGTAAAGACGACGCTAATGATCAGATTCCTCCAGGTCCCTGAATAAAGAAGAAGTGGTACATATACTCAATAGAACATGACTTAGCCCAAAAAAGAGGAAGGGAATCTTACCATTTGCGACAGCATGGATGGACCAAGAAGGTATTGTGCTAAGTGACTTGAGTCAGACGGAGAGAGACAAACATCACGTGCTTTCACTTAGATGTGGAATTAAAAAAAACAAATAATAATAATTTAAAAAAACAAGTAATCTTTTTTTGAAATATTAATGTTTTTTGCATGTAAAATTTTTTAAAAATAAAAACATATATAGATAGATAGATATAGATATAGATATAGATATAGATGATATAGATATAGATATAGTTATAGATATAGTATAGATATAGATATAGATATAGATATAGATGATATAGATATAGATATAGATATAGATATAGATATAGATATAGATATAGATAGTCCCTTCTCCACCATTTATTATCTTTTCTTAAAACGGCACTTGTATAAGCTCCCTCGTCCAGCCCTGTCTTTAGTTTGTTCATGTCTTCTCTGCGAAGCTTCGTGTAATGTCAAAATTAAACCTAATTTAACACCACGGTAGACTTTCTCTCCCATTAACCTCTCTTTTGTCATTTTAATTTGCACGCCCCCGTCACGGAACCTAAGGGGATGGAGGACAAGTATTTTTTTTTTTTTAATCTTTTCTTTTTCTTAATAATTTTTTAAAAATTGATTTCAGAGAGGAAGGGAGAGGAGAGAGAGAGATGGAAGCATCAAGGATGAGAGAGAATCACCGATTGGCTGCCTCCTGCACACCCCTCCCGCCCCTCCCCTTCCCGTCCCCAGGATCCAGCTCACAACCCAGGTATGTGCCCTGACCAGGAATCGAACAGTGACCTCCTGGTAACCGTGGTCGGCAAACTGCGGCTCACGAGCCACATGCGGCTCTTTGGCCCCCGGAGTGTGGCTCTTCCTAAGCCTTAGTTAATCACAATGAACCTGCCTATATAGTTTAAGTTTAAAAAATTTGGCTCTCCAAAGAGATTTCAACCGTTGTCCTGTTGATATTTGGCTCTGTTGACGAATGGGTTTGCCGACCACGGACCTAGCCTATTTCTCATCACACGCTCGTACTGACAGCCTTCCCTGGATGTGTCGTAAGTTGCCTGTGAAGTCCAGATTTCAGGGTAGCAGCTGATAAAAGAAAGATAAAGCCCCGATTCATGTCACAAGAGCAAGTAGAAAAAAGAAATACGTGTTCAACGCCTTTAACTCAAAGAGAAGGTGTGTCTTCCTTGGATCGTTTCTACTTAGAGCTTTATAATGACCCAAATACCTTTTTTACACATCACCTACTTGGGGACAAGCCCTCTGATTTTAATTCCTCCCGTCGCTGTCTCGTCTCCCAGGGAAACAATGAGAAGGCCAACTCTTTCTGCAGGTCTAGTTCCAGCAAATACAGTTCTCAGTGTGCATGCGTATACAGAAGATCTATGCATTGCAGATGAATTAGTCCGACTTCAGAGTTGGTGCTGAGTGAAATAAGCCAGTCAGAGAAAAGACAAGTACCATAGGATCTCACTTATAGGTGGAATCTCGTGAATAAAACAAACAAACAGATTGGAGATGGTTGCATGGATACAGAGAACAGAATGACAGCTTTCAGAGGGGAGGGGGGAGAGGATTGGGTAAGAACTTGAAGGGATTAAGCAAAGAAAGCTCATGGGTACAGGCAGCAATATGGAGATTATCAGGGGTAGGGAAGGGAAGGGGGAGGGAGGAAGTCAAGGGTGAACCCTGTATAATTTTATTAATCAACTAGAGGCCTGGTGCACAAAATTTGTGCACGTGGGGTGGGGGTCTTCCTCAGCCTGGATTGCGAGAGGGCACAGGCCAGGCCGAGGGACCCCACCGGTGCATGATCGGGGCCGGGGAGGGATCTGGGAGGTTGGCCAGCTGGGGAGGGACCGTGGGAGGGGTCCAGGGTGTGTCCAGCCCTTCTCACTCAGTCTGGATGGGCCGGACCCCAGCAGCAAGCTCACCTACTGGTCAGAGCATCTGCCCCCTGGTGGTCAGTGCAGTTCATAGCGAGCAGTTGAACAGCCTGGGCATATCATTAGCATATTATGCTTTGATTGGTTGAATGGCCGACTACATGACCAGACACTTAGCATATTAGGCTTTTATTATATAGGATGTCACCTGAATAAATTCAATTTTTAAAAAAGAGTTTGGCCCAGCCAGCGTGGCTCAGTGGTTGAGCATCAACTTATGAACCAGGGGGCCACAGTTCGATTCCTAGTCAGGGCACATGCCCAGTTGGCGGGATTGGTCTCCAGTGTGGGGTGTGCAGGAGGCAGCCGATCAATGATTCTCTCTCATCATTGATGTTTCTATCTTTCTGTCTCCCTCTGTGAAATCAACAAAAATATATTAAAAACAAAATAAACGTCCACCCACCAGAAAATATATATACTAGTGGCCTGGTGCACGGATTCATGCACATTGAAAGGGAATTAATTAGAATAAATATGTTAATATCGCTATTTGCCCTTTCTCTGTAATAGAAGTGTCAGAGATGAAAAAAAAATTAGTAAAATGTATATGAAAATAATA